AGTGTAGACATACCCTGAGTGATTGTTATGTAGCAATTCTGAGTGATGACCAATGTCAAAGGCAGCTTCTCACACACATGCACACCATTTACAAGACTCTTGGGAGGTTAGTTCAGTATGCCATGAAAAAAATCTTTATCAATGCAAAGTGTAGACATACCCTCAGTTGAAAGATGTGGGAAAAAAGATTCTGGTAAACAAAAATGGAGAATAGACAGTCTGGTAACTCAGAAACATTTGTGAAAATTAGTTCTTCCTACTCGCTATATGGGGCCATTTTAATAGAATAATATTACATCACACATTAGAAATAAGTAAACTGCTTACAGTGTTAACACTGTTAAGAACTGTGGAAGAAGGGCAATTCATTTACTGTTTGATTTCAGAAAGTGTAGTAGTGCATTTTTGCAAACAACAAATGTATAGAAATGCAGTAATTTTACATGGTCTTATTTCTGAGAAAATGCAACAGTTTTCATGCTATATTTGATAACATTACCAATGACTTTTTAAAATGATCAGACTTCTGCATCTGTTTCTTAAAAATTGTATTAGTTGATAACTGCACATCTGAGAAATATTCAGATCAGAAGTATGCTTGTATTATATTACATATGTATGTTTTTATAGGAAACATCCATTATTCATTCTGTATCAGTTTTATATAGTAGTAATAGTGATGTACCCAGAACAAGTATGATATTAATTTTCAGATGCATTCTTGGAGGAAAAGCAGTGTCAGACACAAAAAATAAATACTTAAGCATTCTTTGCCATCTCTTGCTTTTTTAGGTGCAGGAAAACCTCCTATGTATGGAGACTATGAAGCTCAGAGACATTGGCAAGAAGTTACTTATAATCTACCTATCAAGCATTGGTATGTATCACTTTTAAATTTCAGGTTACAATGTGTAATGAGAAAATTCAACTTAGAGGTGCATAAAAATAAGATTTGAGACTTTTAAATCTATTCAAAAGATTCTCTGAATTACTCTAAACACACAACCTCTTCCTGTTCTCAGACTGAGGTTCTGCTGTTTTCACTTAATAAATGTGCAAGTGTTCAGAACTTAATTTTGATTTGTTAGGCCTTTGTATTCAAACATAAAAGTATGACAAGCAATAGTCTGAGAATGCAGTAAAGATACAAAGAATGTGCCATGTTTTAGCTCATCCTGTGTAAAAGTAGTAAGATGAGCTACTGCTATTAGATGAGTAGGAATTGTGTCCCTAGACTCTGTTTGTCAGAAGCTGGGAATGGGCGACAGGGTTGGGATCACTTAATGATTACCTATTCTGTTCATTCCCTCTGGGGGCACCTAGCATTGGCCAGTGTCGGAAGAAAAGGATACTGGGCTAGATGGATCTTTGGTCTGACCCAGTATGGCCGTTCTTATGTTCTTATGCCATTGGAACTACAGGAGACCATAGTATTCAAGTGTAAAATGTACAGTCTTCTGTATCTGTTCAATGAGGATCTTCTGTTAAATAAAACAAGCCCTTGTGTACGGATAATACTTCAAGTAGTGTTGTTATGTTTGCTCACTGCATTATGACAGTGTCTGTTGTTCCTAAGTCCTTAACTATTGTTAGAATTATGAAGAACAACATAACTCTGGAATCTGCACCATTTGAAAGACATCTCACTTGTATTCAATTTTGGGATACTTGTAGACTAGTATCTCAACTCTTATATTCAGTATCTGAAACTTAGAAGATGAAGCTTGTTTTGGATAGGATGGAAATATCCAATATGAGAGCTTGCTACACTCTAACATGTAAAAGCACTGTTAATCTATAAAGGTTAAGAATCTGAGTAATTTTGGTTGCACTCATTTAAGTTTGCTATCTAATAGAACTGTTATGCAGCAGCAAATGAGCTGCAATATACATTTGTTTTGCTTAGGTACAGGGCGATGTCCTCTGAAGTTGGCATGCTTCTAAAATACATCTTGATATTTTCATAGACTTGAATCCTAATTTAATATTAGAAATGTTAAAAAGTGCTTTAGTAAACTATGATATGATTTGTATATAGTTTCCTTGTATGAGATTTCTCTGAGCCAGAGGCTGGAATTTAAATATTTGTCTTTTTTCCTGTCTTTCTCTAGAACCCATACATACAGTAATTGCTCATTTAACACTATAGACATGTTTCAGAAAATGATTGTGTTAAGTGAAAACGTGATATGCGGGGTCAATTTTCCCATTGAAAATAATGGAAAAGGTGGGGTTGCATTTCAAGCGGTGGTGTCTGTTGGGACCGGGACATAAGGTTGGGGGAGAAAGGGGACTGGGTTCCAGCAGGGAGGGGAGGTGTTTGGCTCTGGGGAAGGAAAGGGAAGGACAAGGCAGGGGGCTTGCAGCTGGTGGCTGCGTTTCCCCAGCTGACCGGTCGCCGGCAGCTGCACGGGGCTTCCCCAGCCTCCTTGCAAAGCAGTGGAGGTTCGCAGCTGGCCACACTGTTCCCCAGCGACCCTCTCTGGCCAGATGCCTCACTCTCTCCTCTGCCCCCTGCTTGCAGCCCGTGGCTGGGTTTCCCCACTTTGCAGGTCGCCGGCAGCTGCACGGGCTTCCCCTGCCTCCTGGCAAAGTGGCGGTGGTTCGCAGCTGGCCGCGCTGTTCCCCGGCGACCCCCTCTGGCTGGACAGAAGGAGGCAGGGGAAGCTCCGCGCAGCTACCAGCGACCAGCCAACTGGGGAAACCCAGCTGCGGGCTGCAAGCGGGGGGTGGGGGGGGGAGGAGAGCGAGCGAGGCATCTGGCCAGAGGGGGTCGCCAGGGAACAGCGCGGCCAGCTGTGAATCGCTGCCACTTTGCCAGGAGGCGGGGAAGCCCGTGCAGCTGCCGGCGACCTGCCAGCTGGGGAAACCCAGCCACGGGCTGCAAGCAGGGGGCAGAGGAGAGGGAGTGAGGCATCTGGCCAGAGAGGGTCGCTGGGGAACAGTGTGGCCAGCTGCGAACCTCCGCTGCTTTGCAAGGAGGCAAGGGAAGCCCCGTGCAGCTGCTGGCGACCGGCCGGCTGGTCAGGGAAATCGTGTTATTGCGGGGACGGTCGTGTTGTTCGAAAAATGTTCCCTAAAAAAAAAATCGTGTTATCGCGAAAACATGTTAAGCAGGCACATGTTAAGCAAGGAATTACTGTATTTATCAAAGGCTATGTTCATGGCATCCAGTTTTCATGTATTTCTAATTTAAAATGAGGGAATTGTAATGTGCCATTTTCCCATTGAAACTACAAATTTAGAGAAGGATAAGAATTAAAATACATTAAGTACCTGGGAAACTTGCTCGTAAATTGCAGAATATTAAAATCCATGGAAAGAGCTGAACTACCACGGCATGAGAAATCTTGAGAGTTAGAAGAACAAGTGGAGATGCAGCTAAAGAAATATGATTTATCATCAATTGTTCATAAGGTACTTCAGGCAGCTCATACGGAATTGAAGAAATATAATTTACTGTAATAAATGTCAAATATTGGCTGCATTTGAGTGGATAGACTGGAAAAGCCAAGAACTTGCCGCATGGCAATTATAAAAGACTAGACAGTCTGTTTCATTCTGAGATTTAAAGAGTCTGATGTCTTATTTTTGTAACTTTTATTTTCCTTGAATAAAACCTTCCTCCTTTCATCTGGAAGATGTAGCTAAATTCTAACAGCTGCCAGCCTTCCACCGAAACATCGATAAAGCAGAATTCTAGGCAGGAAAACCCTTCCCTTGTATACCCTCACATATTGTCCTCCAGAGTTTTCTTTCTAAGTTAGAACTAGGTAAAGTGGCTATTGCTGACACCTCTGATCCAGGTTCATGGCCTTGTGTCAGCTATTTAGAAGGTATTACTTTGACAGCTCAGTTAAATCTGCTGTTAAATTTCCTTTAGGCTTTTGTTTCTTCTACATACTGATAGAATTACCCAAAAGTAAGTGTAATATCCATCTATATTAAACTCCACTTTGTCTACATATGTATTCTTGTATGTCTGCCCCTAATTGATTATGGTATACTTTATAATCTAAAAGTAGGGGGAACTAGGTTCAGAATTTTCCAACAGGTACTGTTGTGCTTCACAAAATGTATGTTATCAAATCCAACTTTGTTTGTTATTTATTCATTCCTGTCATGATTGTGAAGGGCAAGAGCCTGCCCTCAGACTTTAACAGCAGCTCATTACTCAGATAATATTTTCTACCTCTGTGTGAGGAACATCTATTGATGTTCGTAAGAGTTCTTTGTATAAAGAAAAGCAAAATTGGATCCAAGGTCTACAACGTGGATCAGAGAAGGTGAATTCTTCCTTACAGTAGTTCTGTGTAAGCTCTCTACCTCCTTGTTTCACTCAGTGATGACACAGTTTAGTATCAGAAATACAATGTTTTCTTTCAAAGTAATCAATTGTGATATTACAAAAGTGAACATTGCAAAATGAATTGCCAGGAGAAGCAGTTCTGATTTCAAAAAGATTTCTTCATACCTTTGTCATTCCGGGGTTCATCAGTGAAAGGAGTGAAATAGAGTGCTGCTGCACCTGACTGTTTAATGAGATTTAGGTACTGTATTTTAACAAATGAGTGCATATGTATGCATGTGAAACATGGGGTACTGTAGTGAAGAAAACATACATTTCTTGGTTCTGTTTCAGTAATGATTTGGCTCTGTGGCTATTTGTCAGCAGATGTTTTTCTGGCTTTAGCGTTGCAAGTTATTGGGCCTTCCACTGATCTGTGGCTTTGTCCATCATGGATCTAAATATGACAGTTGTGCAAAGCATGTGAAAGGTGCTTTATGAAGTAAGAGAATTCTCCTGTATCCAGTCAGGAACAAATCTGGTGAGCTGATGTGCCCTCTGAAGGTAAAAATGGACTGCCTAAATCCAAAGAACAGAAATTGAGAACCTTAATGTAAGGGAAACCACCCTACAGATGAGATCAAATCAATATTCTTTAAAAGTTGCCCTTTTTTGAGCTCTGCTAAATCTGTGTTCCTTTTTTGAAGAATTTGCATTTGACTTAAAATTGGTGAGGATTTCTGTCGTAACAGGTTCTGGATTTGTTTTTCCAACCCCGTACTGTTTTGCATTTTGATGGCAACTGGTCACTAGCTGTGGTATTGCTTTAGCACAGTGCTCTATTGTAAGAAACATTTTGGATTTGCATTTTTCATTTTGTCTCTCATGTTGACTTATTTTAGTTTTGAACTGTAACTTACAATAGTGTACATCTTTCATTTCAAAACATGTTCACATTCAAGTTCAACTTCTGGTTCATGCACAAACTGGTGAGTAGGGCTATACCACATGGCTGTGGATTGAGTTGGGGATGATCTTATCAAATCAGGAATTGTGGACTTTGGCGGATGTAGGAAGCTCATTTTGTTCAAGCATTCTATGTCTCATTAGGCGCTGGATCCCAACAAACTGGCTCCATGTAAAGCCGGAGCACCAGCATAATGTGCTCTGTATAACAAGTAAAACAAAAGGAAAAAATATGCAGCACTTTAAAGACTAACAAGATAGTTTATTAAGTGATGAGCTTTCGTGGGCCAGACCCACTTCTTTAGATCAGGCGAACATGGCTACCTCTCTATTACTGTGTAACAAGTTTTAGTTATAACTATTAGTTTCAAACTAGAGTAAATAATAAAATTGTCAAACACATAGATGAACATAATTTGTTAGGGAAAAATCAGCATGGTTGGTGTAAAGGGAAATAATGCATTACTAGTTTCCTAGAGTTCTTTGAGGGGATCAACAAACGTGGTCAAGGGGGATCCAGTGGATATAGTGTACTTAGATTTCCAGAAAGCCTTTGACAAGGTCCCTCACCAAAAGCTTTTAAGTAAAGTTATTTGTCATGGGATCAGAACGAAGGTCCTCTCATGGATTGATAACTGTTTAAATGACAGGAAAAAAGGATAGGAATAAATAGTAAGTTTTCAAAATAGAGAGAGGTAAGTAGTGGTGTCCCCCAAGAGTCTGTACTGGGACCAATCCTATTCAATCTTTTTATAAATGATCTGGAAAAAGGGATGAACAGTGAGTTGGCAAAATTTGCAGATGATAGTAAACTGCTCAAGATATTTAAGACCAAAGCAGACTGTGAAGAACTTCAAAAAGATCTCACAAAACTCAACAAAATCGCAAATGAATTTTAATGTTGATAAGTGCAAAGTAATGCACATTGGAAAAAATAATCTCAACTATACATACAATATGATGGGGACTAATTTAGCTATAACTACTCGAGAGAGATCTTGGAGTCATTATGGATAGTTCTCTGAAAATATTCACTCAATGTATAGCGGCAGTCAAAAAGGCAAACAGAATGTTAGAAATAATTTAAAAAGGGATAGAGAATAAGATAGAGAATATCTTACTGCATGTATAGAAATCCATGGTACGTCCACATCTGGAATACTGCATGCAGATGTGGTCACCTCATCTCAAAAAAGATATATTGGCATTGGAAAAGGTTCAGAAAAGGGGAACAAAAATGATTAGGAATTTGGAATGAGTTCCATATGAAGAGAGATTAAAAAGACTGGGACTTTTCAGCTTAGAAAAGAGGACACTAAGGGGGGATATGATAGAGGTCTATAAAATCATGACTGGTGTGGAAAAAAGTGAATAAGGAAAATGTATTTACTTTTTTCCATAACATAAGAACTAGGGGTCACCAAATTTAAATTAATAAAATTTAAAACAAAAGGAAGTTTTTCTTCATGCAGCGCACAGTCAACCTGTGGAGCTCCTTGCCAAAGAATGTTGTGAAGAACAGGACTTTAATAGGCTTCAAAAAAGAACTAGATACATTCATGGAGGTTTAGGTCCATCCATGGCTATTAGCCAGGATGGGTAGGAATGGTGTCCCTAGCCTCTGTTTGTCTGGAAATGGATGACAGGACAGGGTCACTTGATGATTTACCTATTCTGTTCATTCCCTCTTGGGCATCTGGCATTGGCCACTGTTGGAAGACAGGATACTAGGCTAGATGGACCTTTGGTCTGACCCAGTATGGCCATTCTGATGTACTTATGAATGTGCATAACTAGGTTTAGGGCCAGTTTTCACATCTCTATCAGCTTCTTACAGTCTTACACACCACAGTCGTCAGTAAGTGTATACTGAATTGTTTGCTAATTTTGTTTTACTGTTTAAAGTTGTTGCTAGTAAAGCAAAACAAAAAAATCCCAGTTTGCCTTAAAGTGCATATTCTTTAGGCTGAATGAAATTAGAATGATGGAAACCTAGATCCATTTTTAAGTGTCCTTTTGTTTTTCAGGTACTTCAATACCAGTGACAATAATCTGCAATACTGGGGCCTTGATTATCCACCTCTTACTGCTTATCACAGTCTCGTATGTGCTTATGTGTAAGTTAACCATTTAAGGATTATCTTAAATGTTCTCTGTTGGTGGAGAATGAAAAAATGAATGCATTATCCCTTTCCTTCCAGAGGAGAGAAACAAAGCAAATCACAGAGATTTACGTCTTTGGCATAGTTTACTTATTTAAAAGCATTATATAAAAGGTGTTGTAGAAACACTAGACTATATAGAGAATTACGACTTTAGCCCTCTTGCTTCAAACCTGATCCTGCATTTGTTCCACATTGAAATCAATTGGGGGGAGCTTTTCCTGCAAAAGGACTGCAGGATCAATTCCTTAGGTATTCCAGTGCCTCCAGTGGGTGCAAATTACATTTTAGCCTAAGCTATGGGTCATAGTCATAGCTTTCTGAGTAAGTCATTTAGGGTCAGTGATGCACATAGTAAGGCATGTCAGAAATTGTTTACAGCAAATTGAAAATTAATCTTGTATTGAGAGCCCAAGTGGCATTTGATGAGTGGGATGCTCTTTCCATATGGCAGAGGTGGGGAGCCTCCAGCATGCTGGCCATGCATGGTTTGTCAGAGTTAGCCACTGGCAGGCTTTGTTTACTTGAGCTCCACAGCTCCCAGTGGCTAACATTTGCCATTTCTGGCCAATGGGAGGTGCAGGGCTCTTTGCCTTTGAATGCTCAGGTAAACAAACCATCCAGTGGCCTACCAGCAGCTAACCCTGATGAACCCTGTGTTCCCCACCCATGCTATCTGGTCTTTGACCAGTATTGGAACAGCTTTTAGAATGGAGTGTTATGTTCAGGGGGAGACAGAAAAAGGGTGCTGCAGGTCAAGTTAAGATGTACTGGCAGAGATATGTGGGGGAAGTTTGCTTCACCTCTGTCTGCATTATGCCTACTTTCTGCTTAATGCTTTTTTTTAAAAAAAATCACAAGTTAGCTTTCAGTTTGAGAAATGACAAACTAGTAGATGCAAAATAGTAATAGAATTAAATTTTTATCTGCACAAGGTAATTATTTTAAATTTTGGTATTGCTGATTAGCGGCTAAAGATGATAAAATAAACTGTTCTAGTGACGAGAAAACCCCTTTCCTGGTCACTATTGCTTTTTGATAAAGTTGCCTCATTCATCTTAACCTTCTGTATGTGCCCTGTGCATATCATCTTTATTGCTGAAAAGGATGTAAAGAGAAATGAGAACTGTCCACATTTTGATGTGTCTATACTTTGTTTTACAGTGCAAAGTTAATAAATCCCGATTGGATTGCTCTCCACACATCCCATGGGTATGAGAGTCAGCCACACAAGTTATTCATGCGCGCAACAGGTAGGAAAAATTGCGTTTCTGTTACTTGATCTTAGTTTTTCTGCTCACTAATTTAGCACATTTAATTTGGCATCACTTTTTTCTTATTCAATTTCTGCTGCAAAATTGATGGACTTTGAGGGTCCTGCAGGTCTGACATTGTTAACTGAGCCTCAAAGTGTATGTCTACACAGCAGCGTTATTTCAGAATAACTGATGTTATTCCAAAATAATAAAGAGTGCATCTACACAGCAAGCAATTATTTTGAAATAATGGCGAGCTGGAGGACTTGTTACTTCAACTCCTTGTAACCCTCATTTCACAAGGAGTAAGGGAAGTCGAAGGAAGAGTGTTCTTCCTTCAATTTCCTGCTGTGTAGACCGGGCCAAAAGCCAAATTAAGCTATTTCAACTTCAGCTACACAATTGACGTAGCTGTAGTTGCGTTGCTTAATTCGAATTTTGCCCTGTTGTATAGACATGTCCTAAGTGTCTCCAACTCTGATCTCATTGTGAAAGTGGCAGATATTGTTAAATTGAATCTTTAAGCAGAATCTTTAAATTGAACTGGTCTTAGTAACAACTTTAAAAGCTTTTTTTTCAGTAGTTTCGATCTCAAATTTAGATTTTAAAGGTGAACTGCAAAGGATTTTTTAAAGTGGATTTGCAACTTTATAATGCCTGAAGGTTTTATTTTATTTTTAATTCTGCTTGCTTTTTATCTTCTCCGTATCAAGAGTATTAAGACTGGCCTATATTGCATTTGGAGAAAAAAACTCTTAGGGGTTTCAGGGATATATATTGTGAGTTTTCATATCTTAATTGGAAGGGAGAGTATTTAATCTTTATAACAAAGACAACCTTTCTCCAAAATGTTCACCAGCCACTAGCATTAAATAGGTGTTAACAAAAACATGGAAAATCAAAGTGTTTTGAACAGTGTGATTAAAAATCTCAAAATCACTTTCTGATCATATTAGCACTTTGAACAGCATCTATAATGAAAATGTAATGTAATATATTTGGACTCCATTAAGATAGAAAATAATTTCATTTCTTCTCATGAGCATGATAGTGGAACAGCTGCTGATATGTCCAGTGGCTTGTAGCTAGTGAAGAATAGTGGGAGCAGTGATGTGACAGTAGCTGTAAAGGCAGCCAAATCACCCCATTATTTTTTAAAGTTTAGTCATATGTTTTGGTTCAGATGGCAGTGCAATCCCATAAAATGCCTGTGTTGGGCAAGCATCCTTATTTTGCTGATTATATTGAGCAGAATCTGATGCTCATCAATAGTACTTCCTTTTGTTGCCCACAAACCTTTCAGTGTGGTTTCTAGTAATTGATTATATTTAGAAAAAAATCACTAGGATGAAATTACCCTTGAAATGGTCTGTATTAATGTTCAAATCAGCACGCTTGACAAAACATTGATGTACAGACTAAGAAAATTGAAGTACGTCCTTTTAACAATAGCCATTAAACTAGTGCATCAGGATTACAAACTCAGTACAGTTCAATGTTGACCATTGATGTTATAGTCTCGTTTTGAATTTTAAACATGTACATTTGAAAACATTTTCTCCAACAAGTGACAAGTTGATAATGTTTCACAGGCTGTGTTAGTCTTGTGGTCTTGCTCATTTGGAGTTTGCTTCTTCAGGTTGCTGAACACTAGACTTCAGTTCTAGCAAAGCACTTAGAACAGTGGACTCCAACTTTTTAACCACAAGATCACTTTTTCAATATAAAAGTAAGATCTACCTAAAACTCAAATACCCTTCCTTCCCGCCCCTTCTCTGAGGTCTCAACCTGCTCATTCCATCCTTCTTCCTCCCCCATCCTCACTCGCTTGCACCAGGCTGGGGTAGGAGGTTGGGGTACATGCTCTGGTCTTTGGCCAAAGGGTTTGGAGTGTGGGAGGGGCTCCGGGCTTAGCCAGGGTGGGGGATTGAAATCTAGGAGGGGGTTTGGGTGCAAGCTCTGGGAAGGAGTTTGGGTGCAGGGAGACTTACATCTGGGGCAGAAGGTTGGGTGCAGGAGGATGTTCAGAGCTGGGACAGGGGTTTAGAAGGCAGGCTTTGGCTGGACACTGTTTAACTGAGATGGCTTCCAGGTGGTGGAGCAGTGAGGTTAAAGCAGGCTTACTCCTGCCCTGGCCTTGCACCACTCCTGAAAGCAACTGGCATGTATATTAGTGGTTCCATGTGCTGCCCTTCATTTATGGGCATTGAGCCCACAGCTTCTACTGGCCACGGTTCCCTGTTGTTGCACAATGGGAGCTGCAGGAGTGGTGTTTGCAGGCAAGGACAGCATGTAGAGAACCTCTGCTCTGGCTTTCTCAGGGGCTACAGGGACATGCAAGCCACAACCAGGAGCAACCACAGGGATAATTACTCCATCCATGACAGATTAGGCATGTTAGAGCTCACTACTCAAAGAATTAAATTTAAGTGTAAGAGAGAAATGAAAATTATGAAATGCACTGGCCTGTCAAAAACCAAAACCAACAGACTCTGCAAGCAGTAACAGAAGTAACAATAAACCCCCACGTGTGTGTTGGATTGGGAGATAAGAGTGAAGGACAGTGTGTGTTTGTGAGAACGACAGACACACACAGTGTGTGGACGTGACAGATTTGCATTGCCAAGCTCCGTCCATCCCCTTCTCTCTGTGTGGAGATGGGGTACAGGAATGGAGGGAAGAGGGACACCCTGACATCAGCACCTCCACTTCTCCCTCCCACGGCCTGCACAGCAAGCAGGAGGCTCCCAGGGGGACAGCTCCAAGGCAGAGGACAGGAGCAGCATGACAGTGGGTAGAGGGGCAACTGAAGTACCAGCACTTGAAAGCTTCCCGGCCAAACCAGTCAGGATCACCTGCCTGCAGTTCCAAGATCTACCGGTAGATCCTGATCTACTGGTTGGTGACCTCTGACTTAGAACAATGGTTCTGAAAGTGTGGTCCCTCTAGTGGTCTGTGACTGTCTTGTAGGTGGGCAGCAGGCTCGGGGCTTGGTCTGCCATCTTGCTGTTCCAGCCCTGTGCCCCTCTCTGCATGGTTGAAGCGTCAGCGCCAGTTTCCTCACTGTGTAGGGGGAGCCCTGAGCCACGCAGATTGGATCTGGCTAGTGAGGGTGGGAAGCAGCTTCACACACTGCCGCTCCCCTCCCCCTGAGCTAGGGGAATGGCAGCAAAGGAAACTGCTCACGGTGAGGCTTTTCCTGCTGCTCCCATTGGCCAGAGTCATGGTGCCTTGGAGTGCGCAGAGCCAGATAAGCATCTCCTAGCTCCCTCATGCCCAGAGCGTACATCCCATTGCCCACTAAGACCCCACTTCCCCACCCTGCTCCTGCACCCTCCCTCCTGCCCAGATCTTGCACACCCACCTGCACCTCACCTTCTGCCCAGACACCCTACCCTCAGCCCTTTCCTGCACCCTACCACCCCCTGAAACTCCCACCCGGTTCTTGCACCCTACCTCGCACCCTCACCTCCTCCTGAACCCCACCTCCCGCCCGTACCCTGCTCCCCCATCCCTATCCTGCTCCCTGGTAGCTCCCTCTTGCACACTGAACCTCTCATTTTTGGTCCCACCTCAGGGAGCCCAAAACATCTACTGGCCCAGGAACCCCTGAAGAATTAATCTGGCCTGTGGGAAGCCCTGAACTTCTGTCCTCCCTTCCTTCCTCACATCCCCCATGGGGTTGTAGTGTGAGGGGAGCGAGGTATGTCAGCCAGGAGCCACATTATAAGGGTTCGGGGCTTTTGTTGGTTTTTTTAGTTGGTATGTTTTTTTTCTTCTAACTTTTGTGTGGCCCCGGATTGATTTTTCTGTGGGTCAGTGGCCCCGATCCAAAAAGTTTCCCCACCCCTGCCATAAAGACAATGTTGAAACCTTTGGTTTTGGACATAAATTAATATTTTACTTTATTTAAAACAAAGTTTGATAAAAATGATAAAGTTAAATCTGTTTAATAGTTTTGATGAATAATGTTTCCTTTCCTAATGATTGTATATGCCCCTTTATGTTATATCTGAGTATTTGTTTTTATGCTCCTATAGCCTAATACGAATAATTTAGTATTTAAGGTTTTATAGAGTTAAGCAAAGGTATTTTGTCATCATGGGTGGTTGGCTGGTGGTCCGCGGAAATGTTTGCATTGAGCAGGGTGTACTGGGGGCCAAAATGTTTGAGAACCACTGACTTAGAAGATTCTTAACGCTAAGG